CTCTCATTTTAGTTTCCTGTTGATTATTTACCTTTTTTTCCTTTTATGTTGCATATTGTTCGATGCATGTATAGTTGAGTTTATTGTTATACGTTTTTCATTTTGTTGTTCAAATTCATAGATGACATTCATAATATCATCCGGTTCAATATTTCCACTAACAATAATAGCCACATTTTTTGGTGTATAAAACATTTTATGAAATGATTTGATTTTATCCAATGATAATGATGTTCGTATTGACTCTAATTTACCACCATAATTGTAATGATAATGTGATGTTTTTGACCATAATTCTGACATTAATTTTTGTTCTAATATTTCATCTGCTTGTTGTTCACATGACTGCATTTCACTATAAACTACACCCGAATCATGTCCTTCATTATTAATATGATGTATTTCTGTTAAATAACAATCATTGGTTAAAAGTGGATTAAATATATGATCTAAATAAATTGGTAATAATTTTAATATAGAATATTTATCAATAGTTGATAATTCATAATTTGTCATATCACGATAAGTAGACGCATTTGTTCCCGTACAATAGAGATATGATGAAATATAATCTAAAATTCCTTGTTGAGGATAATTTTTACTGCCCATAAATATTAAATGTTCTAATGTATGAGCTACACCAGTATCATCATAGGGTTTTGTTTGTACACATAATTCAACTTTGATCGTTGGTAATTCGGGTAAACGAATACAATATAATTTGATTTTTGATTTTTTAGATTGAAATTTTTCAATAGAAAACGATGGTTCACAATAAGATTGAATAAAATCAAAATTATAACGTGCAAATGATGAAACCATTTTACGAGAAATTTGAAAATAATTAAATAAGCGAATAATACACCATTTTGTATGAACAATAAATAGCATACATCTTTTTAGAATAAAATAAAACAAATATATCAAAATTTTTCAAACAATCAATAAACAAAAACAAATTGTGAGGTAATGAAGTACAGAACTGCTATAAACATGATTAACTAATCATAATGTATTTATTTCATTGATATTTCGACAGAATCCACTGTCATCATCAGAATGAAA